GTGTGTGTGTGTGTGTGTGTGTGAATGACAGCTGGTGCAGGTGAGGGCAGGTTAGGAAGGAGAAGGTGGACGACGGCTGGGAAAAGGTAGGAGGTGGAAAGATGGAGGGAAGGAGAAATGTCCAGAAGTGACAGTCAGGCAGGTGGTGTACGTTGGAGGTGAGGAGGAAGATGGACAGAATGGAACTGTAGAGTGTGCTGATTTCCTCAGCTGGTTTTTCGAGGAAAGTGAAAAATAGAATACTTGGACTGAAAGGTAAATGAAAAACATGAAGGGAGGTAAAGAGCTAAGTGACTCTAAGCCATGTTCCATTAACAGCCTCCCTGATGTTTGGACCTTAAGAAACTTGGCTGCTGAGCTTGGTGTTAATTGTTCCAGTGCTGCTCACATGAAGTTGTATGTCCAGTTTAGAAAGAGGTGACTGAGGTGGCCACATTCTATCTATAATACGTTTGTATATACTGTTATCTTCAAATTGCTTTTAAATAGTTTCCTATTGTTTGTCTTAATTTTTAATGTGTAAAGCACCAGGTAACTTTGTTTTGAAAGGTGCTATATAACTAAAATGTATTATTGTTTATTATAACGATGTGATGGTGCTCCAACCTGTGCAAAATGGGGGATTTAAGTCACTGATTCTCATTGTAGATGCTCAAACTAATCTGTAAGTGTCTGCAAAGTTGTTTTAAATGGTGCAAATAGAAAAGTCCTAATGCTGGGTCAAGTTTGGATATCCTCAAGAGTACATTTTGAATATTAGAAGAAAGATTGCAATTCATGATTATGATATTAACTAGTATGCTTTGGGCATGCTAGAAATTGGGAGAATGCTCGTTGCTAGTTTCATAAAATTCAAAGCTCTTCGGAAGTAGTCCCTCAAGCTGTGGATATGCTTGGAGGATTGGTCATTTCGTGCACCAACTGTGAGGTTGGCACGCTGCTTCTTCCTTTCATACTCCAGCTTGAGGCGAGGTGACATGGTGCATTCTTTTAAATGTTAAATGTCACCACGAGAAAAGCACAACCACAACACCAGAAAAGGCAAAGTTGAGTCAGCAGAAAATTGTGGGACAAGGGGGTTTCAGACAGTAATTGATTATCCAACAAGCACTTGGTTGTTGTTGTGTCATCTTCATCGGCATTGTTAGACAAGGAATTAAATAAGTCAGAGTATAATGGTGTTCATTTAAAAACCTAAACAAAGCTAGTGTCTGCTGCCTACAATGTGTGTCAGGTTCTTTTTCCACCGTTTATCAGAACATGATGGAAACTGATGCTGATCATCACAAGTGGTGGTATTACCACAAAATGGCTACCAGTATTTAAAGAGTGGAGCATTGTGCATTTTAGATAAGGCAATATAGATGACAAACCCACATTTGTGCACACAACACACCATGCCAAGGGAGTTGGTGTGCAGGAGCTCTCACACCTGCCCCTCACACTTGCGGAGACCTTCATTAGCATTTCAGGGGCAGAGTTAGGTTGCTCATTAGCAAGTCAGGCACAACAGCAAATTGGTGTGCCTGCGTGCTCTCTAGTACAACCGTGCACACGTACATACATGCATGAAAACCCATCTTCATCCTGTTTTTAATAGGCTCCTGCGGCGACATGCACAGACTCATGCTGTCTTTGGCCCCAGTCGGCCGCGTGCTGACCGAACGCTGATTAAACCAACCACATCATTATTGTAATCTTCACCGGAAGTATTTTCTCCTTCTATCAGAGGTGTGAACTCATCTGTGGCCCCCCCCCCCCCCCCCCCTACATTTGTCTCCTTTCATCTATGTTTAGAAATCTGCCTCCCAACTCCTCCATGTGTTTGCGCCTCATATCAGGACTTGTACAGTGAGCGTAGATGTTTGTTTTGTTGTGTGCCCTTACAGACTTAACTCCATTTCATCTTTTTGCTGTTCTGGTGAAGTTGCAGCCATTTGACAGGAGATAATGGCCATCAAACCATTAGCTGTGGCAGCTTCAACTTGAAATGTCAGGGGGGGTAGTAGCACTGTGATCTTTTTTAATCTTCCTGCTCTAATGGATGATGATAATGAAGGTTGAGATGGTATATTATGTGTTTTATTTGTTAGGGTATATTACAGGTGCTTTAAACAGACGTCTTACAATACCACAGTGCCACCTAGTGGGCGAGGACACGTCTTGATTGTGGCTCTGTTGTTGTTTGACACTGTTCTATACCACACCAGTGAGCATGATCTGTGTTTTCTCCTCATTGCAGACAGGCCTGATGAACAAGCATCTCAGTTCCCTGATGCCGGGTCTGACTGCGAAGGTCTTCAGGACGTATAACGCCTCCATCACCCTGCAGCAGCAGCTCAAAGAGCTCACAAACAGTAATTCACACATTCACTACACTATAAAGCAGGCCAACCTTTAATACATGGCTCTCACTCAAGCTTATAAAGCACCTGCTCATATTCAGCTGCAAGATGGATACCAACACCTTAAAGTAACACTACAAAAATGTTTTAGCTTGAAACAGCAGCTTCAATGTTTTGATGGTTCACTGACTTGGAATAGGGAGAATGTTTCCCTTTTCATTCCCACTCCTCACCTTGAACGTCTGTTATGGCTCTTTGGTGAGCAGGTCCCTCCTGTGAGGAGTGTGGAACAGTCACAGTTTCAATTGTCAGAATTGGGTCCAGCAAGTTGAAGAGATACTGAACTGTAGATCAGTTGAAGTCATCAAAAACCAGCGTTTATCTCCAATACTTTTGTAAATACCAAGAATGCAAACATTTATTGGTGTATTAGTTACAGCAGTGGCTCTGCTGGGCCAGGAAGCCAGGGATCATGGGTAATATCCACTGTTCAGTTATGTTTCATTCATAGAATTTGTCCCATTGTGTGGCTGCAGAGGGCGCTGTTGTTCAGTAAATGTTACACGATGTTGCTTTAAACACAGTCATGCTTTATTCATCTGCCTCTTTTGATTGTCTCATTGCCTGTCTCCATGTGTCAGGGAGTCAAGATAAAAAAGAACACTCAACACTTCTGCCTTTTTGTTATTTTTAGCTTGTTTGATTTGAGATACCCTGTCAGTTAGCTGTTCCAGCCAAGGCAGAGGAACGTTATCACTGTACTCAGCATGGTGCGTCTCTGCTTCACTCTTATCAGGCTCCCATGGGCTGACTCTGCACAGTCTCTCATTCAGAGATGGAAGTGTCACACTCGCTTCTCATTTCTGGATTGCCACTGAGAGCCAATCTGAAGTCTGACGTGAAGTTGTAGTGTGTGTGTTGTTTGAACCCCAGGAAGAAAAGACATAGCTATTGGAGATCTGAATGAATGTAATTATATGGTAGCAACCTGTAATTGTTTGTGCGCAGTAACAACATGAGGGATGCCAGCATGATTTTATATTTTAAACTTGCATGATTGCGGCATAGATGCATGTTCTCAGTTTGACTTATTTGCCTGAAGACAAATTACCATTCTGTCGTCCTCCAAAGAGTCTGACAATGAGGCAGAGAAACTGCTGTCCTATAACAGAGCTAACAGAGCAGTTGCTATTCTCTGTAACCACCAGCGGGCACCGCCAAAGACTTTTGATCAGTCTATGGCAAACCTACAGGCCAAGGTAAGAGCAACTGGACTTTGTTTGTTAGACAGTTATTTCTTTAACAGGAACAATTATAATTTATGTGTTTTTGTAACCATTACTGCCTAATAAATTATACCTGGAGGCTGACAGTAATATATATGTATAAAAACGTCAATACCCTGATGTGCTCCACCCAGATTGATGATAGAAAGGAGAAGCTGGCCCTGGCTAAGACAGAGCTAAAACAGGCCAAGAAGGAGGCCAAGACTAAAGGCAGCTCAGACCCAAAGCTGCAGGTGTAAGTATTGCAGTAGTGGAGAATCGTTTTTTAAATTGTCAAGCTGTGGAGATTAAAACTAACTTAGAATTGAAACCCTGCTACACACAGTTACACCATCTTTAGAAAAGTACCCTGGCAGCTTGCGTAACTGCTTCAGTGTGAATAATGAGCTGCAGTTTAGCCACAGGAAATACAAGATCTTGAAATCTAGCCTTTCTCTTAAGGCACAGCTTCTCTGCTTTTTATTATTTTGGCGTTTTGTGCCCAGAGTAAAAAGGCAATTACCAACACTGTTGGTTGTACATTACAGTGCAGTATGGCTTTCACATTATGCATAGAAAATGAACTTGTAGCTCCACTGGATGTCGATGTGATTTTATCAGTGAAACACATGTAAATCATTTGTGACAGCAAAAAGGATATTTATGAAGAAACTTAATTTAAGCCACTACTCTAAACTACCTGGCGTTGAATGACACTGTTTCACATCCTCGTCATATCTTTAATTACTTGAACTGTTTACATGTTTTCTTCCGGTGAGTGTAGTGGTGTTGTGCAGGGTGCAGTTATTTACAAAAAGATCCTCACTCGAGCGAGACTGCATACTGATGAAACAGTCCCTTTTACCCTTTGCTTGCCCAGATCATGTAAACAATCCATAATAGAGGACTCCTTAAAATCAGTAGTCCCATTTCTGACAAGTTTAACTGTGTGATTCCGTTGTGCTCTTTTTGGGACTTATTTTCTAATAGTCTGGTGGAACGGAAGAAGGTAGCGGTGCGGCGCTGTGAAGAGCAACTGCTGAAGATGGAGGTCCAGGCAACTGATAAAGAGGAGAACAAACAGATTGCACTGGGTACCTCCAAGCTCAACTATCTGGACCCACGCATTAGTGTGGCTTGGTGAGTGAATACAGATCAGGTTTTGGTTAAAACACTTCTTGTCGGATTTGCTGCCCAAATTCTAACTTGCTCAGGTTGGTTGAGCTCAGTGGAACGGGTCAGAAAGTATTAACGCACCTACTGATGAATCAGTCAGAAGAAAACTGTGTTACAAAGAGCCACACTGCACATTACAATGTATAACAGTTCAATCAGAGACAAATGAAGGTTTTTTTCACATCAACAGATGATTCCTGTGATATTATTTTAGAGATAACATTTTTTGGGGGAGTTCAAGCACTTGTCTTCTCTGATATTGCTTCCATTTTGTTTGCCTGTATTCCAGCTGCAGATTGTTAAAAGGAAAGATTTCACAACCTATTAGAACTGTAACTGTTTTGTTGTTAAATGTTTACTTGACAGTTTATATTTGACAGTGTTGTTTTCTGTTGTAGGAGTCGGAACATGGAGGTACCTGTAGAAAAAATATATAATAAGAACCTTAGGGACAAGTTTGCCTGGGCCATGGACATGACAGAGCTCGACTTTGTATTCTAACTTCAAACTTATAAAACGTTCTCATAAGCCGACACTGTGATGCAATTAAGGAACCACTTTATAGAACATACAGTACTTTAATGTTGCATTAGAACGTTCAAAGACTGCTGATGTTGAACTCAAGCTCCATCCTTGTGACAAATTTTGTTTACTGCTGTCAATTCCTCGTTAATTATGCACTTCACTTTGAAAAATGTTGGTTAGTTTTAAGTTTGTTCATTTTGTTTGTATTCGTTTGAATAAAGGTTCCTGTTATGCAGTGACAGTGTATTTACAGTTTGTCAAAAATTAACCTTTGTGTGAAAATGATAAATATCTCTAATTCCATCTGTGATAAATGTGACATAAGAACATTTTAAACGATATAGAAGATAAATTCCCTGTTGATCAGCTCAGCAGACCTTAAAGTCTAATACTAAAATGTCATTTCAATGCATCATAAACAATATAGAGCAAAAAAAAAAAAACCATGCAACAAAGTCATTCCAGATAATTTGCTTCTTAAAATACAGCTTGAAAAATTAACTGAAAAACATTGAGCACCTCAGAGTTAATTATTTTTAAAAAATGACTCAGCACCTGGCCAAATATTATGTAATACATGACAAACAGTCGTATTAAATAGCTTTAATAGAAGAAAATCAGAATTGGAATGCATCCAACATCTTGGTCGTTAACAGTACTGCTTGTAAAACACTGCAGGCTTCAGATGTTCATGTTGGTGGGGATGGAGCTTCTACTGGCCTGTCAGCCTGCAGGTTATACTTCTCAGCACAGGCTTGGGCAAAGCTTTCCCCATCGGCCATCGCCTCACAGGACCGAATTAACTATGACAAACGATGGCAGCGGAAAAAAACCTCCAAGTCGACACTAAATCCACAAGTTGCATTCCTGCATGTGAGCATTTTAAGTTCTGGAGGGCATGTCACACTATTCTAACCTACAAATAATGTTCAGCTTTCCAAGTCATTACACAACTGTAACCGTGTATCACAATATTCAATATATATAAAAAAGCATTTCACACAACGACACACCAAATCAATAGAAGTCATTTTCAGGATGAAAAAGTCTGCTGCTCCTGGAGTTAGGACCGACTTCACACCTTGTTATCTGTGGGACAGACAAAACAAATGGTCCGTGTTGTAGTAAACTGAGACTGAGGAGGCATTCGTTCACATTTTACATTCAATTAACTACAATAAAGGACCCAGGCGAAGCAAAATAAATGTGAAATCCTAGGTGGAGAGCTAACTGGACTTCGTTCATACCTTCATTATGAGCCTTGACCCTCTTTAGGCTTTTCTGGTGGTGCCTCGATCTCTTCAACACCAGCCTGGGTCATCAGGTCAGCGATGTTCTTCTCCAAATCGTCAATACGTGTGCTCATCTCATCGAGTGGAAAGGCAGTTAAGGTAAATTACTTAAAACAATACTATAAAATAGGCAAAGTCAGTCAGTATTTATTGGAAAGAAAGTGCAGCAAAAAGGAGACGTTGAATTAAAAAAGAAAAATGAGTTTAATGGTGGCTAAGAATAAAATGATATTGAACGTTAATGAATATTTTTGTAACAGGATATTCCTTCCGATGATCTGGTCTGACATGGTCTGGAACTTGTCCTGCATCTGTTGCAGCAGAGTCTGGACCTGGAACACAAACAGCACAAATACTGTAAGTGATTGGTTCCAAGAATGGTGAGTGTGACATAATCATGAATTTGAATTCTAAATTGCAGCAAACCATTTTAACAATATAGGGCAGTGTCACCACCAACTATGACGCACCACGCCTGAGCTCTATGAATGATTTTAAAGGAAAAAAAGGCAGCGAGACAATAATAACATAAGAATGGTGTTTCCTTGACAACAATGTAAAAGCTCTGTAACCATTGGAGATGATTCTGATTCACTGCAGAACAGTGAACGCATCAATTCATAGTATTGTGCATTTCTTTATTTTTCACATAATGTGTCGATCACAGTATATTCATCCCATCTGACACCGATCAATGATTTGATGAAATGTGTCTTAAAGACACATTTTATAACTGTCTTAATTATCTTTTATTTCATATCAGTTTGACCCTTTTCTCCTCTAGAATGTATTCATATATCTGTGGTCTAATGTTTGCCCTAAAATCTTCAGTTTTAACTTGCAAAGCACCTTATAAAAGTTGTTTATTTTTCATCATCCACCATATCACTTTACATTTCATCCTCACATGCATTTAGTAAAACTCTGATCGTGAGACAATGCAAGGATAAAATAAAGTGAATAGGTGAAAACAACTCCATGTGCACCCCCTTGAACATTTATAGAACAAAATTGGACATTTTTAGTAGCTTAACACCAAATTCTGAGAATTCTAATTGCATAAGATATTTATTTTATTATTTACATTTAATCGTTTTTTGCAGAGATGAACATTTTGTCCGAAGACTCGTGGCCTCTTCTTCCAGCTCATCACCATGACAACACTAACACAACCTCAGCTATCTGTTAACACAACGATGCACAGATTTCATTTTACATTAAATGTGTGAGTTCTGACTGAACCTGTAAATTATTCTGCACGAGCGACAACTGCAAAGTTACGTTTGATGCAAATGTAGCTGTAGCCACACACACGTTAGCTTGAGCAGTTTATGTAACACGAAGCGTCTGAGTAGTTGTGATGGAGTGATGCGACTCAGAAGAGCAACAGCATCACCCACACAACATGGAGGAGCTACACCACAGTTCCATCAAACACTCGCTCTGTTATTAAACAGTCAAACACAAATACGCTTCGCTTTAGCTAAACTCTAGCTAGCCGTCGCTTGCTAACTAGCTAACGACAGCTCGCCATCTTTAGCATCGTTGTTGCCGTCGCTGAGCCACTGTAGTTAGCGCGGGCGAAGGGCTAATGGCGACTCACCACGTTGGTGAGGTCCTGCACAGACTTGGGGTCCGTCTCGGACATGTTGTGTTGAGTATCGGCGCCGACACGGTGAGGAAAGTCCAAATGTTCAGGAGGCTAACTCGCTAGCTGCTTGAATCGTCGCACCTTCACTGCACTGTCAGCTGTTCTCATTGAAGTATCGCGAGAGTTGACCCGCGAGTGGGAGTTGTAGTTTTTAAGCACATTGTAGTTTACTTCTCCTCGTGGCCTCAGGAACTTTCAGTGCTTCTTGTGTAAACTGTATAAATGTTTATTTTCTATAATCATTACCTATCTACACATCCACGTTATGAGGACACTGTTTTCCTTGTGGGGACAAAAATGAAATCCTCATAAATCATTAAACTTTATTGTGAAGAGATGTTTTCAAGTTAGGCTGAGGTTGGATTTAGTTTAGGTTTAACTTATACTTCAGTAGAATAAAAATCTTTTAATCATGTGTCAACGTCACTGTCAACTTTATTTATGTTGCACATTACTAACAACTTGTTTGACCAAAGATCTTTACAGAGTAAAATGTATAACAAGAAAACAGCAATATATCATAATGATAATAAAATCAAAGTTCAGCTAAGACAATGTGTGTGTATATATATATATAATATAGAGTTCTATCAGTCAGCTGGACAGAACTGAAGAGGAGGGGGGGTCAGTGATCTATTCCACACAGTTAATGTGCAGTGACCTGGGTGACTTCACATCATAGCTGCTGAGTTCAAAGCGAACTTGTCCGGATTAATTATCACAGTATATATATACCGGCCACCAAAGTATTCACCGTTATTTCTGCAGGAACTCTCAAAGCTGATATCACTTGGTGTGACATGTTAGGCTAATTCTGAACGGAGACTTTATTCATGTTAATAATAAGAGTGATCCCAAAGATACAGAGCTTATAAATGTAATATTTTCTGTTTTCATGCATTTCTTAATTTCCTTTTATTTTAAATGTCACTTTAGCATGTTCTTATGTTACTTCAAATCTGGTCTTTTCTATGAATTTTTATTTTATAAGCATGTTTGTATTTGTATCTATATTACATATAAGGCGCTTTGAGCTGCATTTCTTGTATGAAAGGTGCTATACAAATACAGTTTATTAATATTATTATATACCTATTTAAATGAATATATCTAAACATATTCTCCTATTCTCATGTGTTAATCACACATAAATACTCAGATTGTATATCTGCATATATTTTTGTACACATGCACACACGGCGATTCTGAATAAAAAACGTGTTGGTGCTGTAAAATATATACAAAAATACTAATACCTCAGAATCACAACACAATACACGCAATAAATCAGTCAATTCAAAGCAAGGGGCGGTGAATATATACTGTACAAGGACAATACACAAGTTTTCTTACAATTAGATTTAAGTAACATTACATTAATATAAGTTAAAGTAACCGTGTATGTGTGTGTGTGCGTGTGTGTGTGTGTGTTGTTGTGTGATCGGGCGCGTGTACGTGTCTCCTCCTCTCATGAGCCAGAGATTTGAAAGTGAAGTTGTGTGAGGAGCAGAGTGTGTGTTCTCACGCTGATACACAGTGTGTGTGTGTTTGTGTGTGTGTGTGTGTGTTAGATAAAGAGAAGTTTCAGGGACGTGAATGAAGCTGAAGCCCGGTGAGTTAAACTAAAAGATCTTTTATCTACAACACGTTCAAAGTTAAAATCTGGAGAGGAAATCCTTCCCGGGAGCGACGGACGCTGCGCGTGTTGGGACTGAGCGTTTCAACGACTCAAATTACTATTAAAGAAAACACACGCAAAGTTCCTCTGAGGATTCTGGAGAAATAAGATTATCTCTACTTCTGAGTTCAGCTTCACACTCGTGTTAAAGCTGCTGACGGTGGGAGTGAGTTTCTCTGTGTCATGTTACTGAAGCTGCTGCAGCTCCAGAAGCCAAAAATTGATGTGCGAGTGCTCAGGCATGTTTGGCCCAACCCCATGAAGTTATGCTGTGCTTACATAACAACACACTTCTCATACAGGAGGTGGTTCAGTGTGTGCACTGTGTGGTTTAACACACACACACACACACACACTGTGCCTGCAGAGGGAAATAGTCTGGATGGTTAAATTCTTGAATAATGTTTAACTTCAGTTAAACCTTATGAACGTTTTTTATTGGTTGTGTTGTTGAAGAGCTGCAGGTTTACATTCACTCTGCACTGTTAGTAATCTCTAAAACCTTTTAAACTTAATGAGACTCTGTGAATCTCTGGAGGTATGAGAGGCAATATGGGTGAAAATTATGCATCAATATCAGTCGTAAAACTCTTCTTTATTATCAGAAACTTGATAAATAACATATCTGAGGTTGATTAATTTCTTGTTTTACCTCCTCACTGTTCATGCTGAATGCACAGATTATATGGATATGCACATTTTGTTATATTGCTATTGATATAAAATCATATTGATGTAATTATTGATATTGTTCTGTTTCACGTGGGAGGTGTGTTCTTGACTGGAACAGTATTATTACCTACCACCAAGTTATGTGAAATAACAGATGGACAATAAGTACATTTCCCTATGCAAAGCTGCATCTGCTGCTGTGGTGAAACAAACAGCAGAGTGCTAAAAAAATAAGTTCTAGACAACCTGTTGGTGAGGTTTTCTTTTTGTACAGTCATGTTCTATAGTTCTTCTTCTTCTTGCGCTGACCCAGAGTCGAGTGTTTTGCTGAGCTCTTCTGAATGACTCATCAGCTGACTGGCTGCCAAAGATGTTGCCTATGGGAACAAAGGGCTTTATGTTTACATTACGCTGGCTCTCTGTTTTAGACGGGACACATGAAAATAGTTCTGTTTGGGGAAATGCTGACTAGGGAGTAGACTTCAGAAGTTATACATGTATGACCGAGTGGGTTTATAGGCCCAAATTCAAGAGCAGAGAAAAAAAGATTGACATTTCAAGAATAATGTCATAATATTACAAGAAGAAAGTAATAATCTACTGAGGAAAAAGTCAGAATATTCCAAGAGATATTAAAGATTTTCTTGAGGAATTATTCAGCATGCATGCTTCTCTCTGTTTGCTCAGGAAGTGTAGGTCATGATTTTGTGTACACAGCAACGTGCTGGCTGTTACAGCAAACACAGTCACAAGCATAGACAATAAAATAACTGTGTGCACTGTGTTGCAATCTGAGGGAAGTTGGTTTGTGAGACATCTCACTAAGTCATACAACACAAGTTCACTGACTATTTTATCAGCAATGTTGACAACTGCTATTCTAGTGTCAAGAAAAAAGTCTCGAAAAAGTCATCAAATAATGGATTAAAAACCAAACTTACTGAATAAATGAATCACCTATATATGTTAAGAACTCACTAAAATGACAGCAACTTTCTTTGAAAACATTTTTTACATTTACTTGTCTGTCCCATCCACTAACAAGGAGGAGTCAGGGTTTATTATTTACACTGCAGCCAGCTCACAGGAGGTGGTAGGGACCCTTGGCTGTGTTGTCATGTCGTCCATCGGAACTCTGAAGCTGCAAGAGCTGAATGGAATCCTGTTACCTTTCTGTGTCCAAGCTGTGACCTCCAGACGCCCCTGAGCTTCTCTCCACGTGATGGATGCAGAGGTGGTTCTGCAGGAGGAGGACGGCTCATGGACGCTCTTGTCCTGGCTGGCGTCCTGCGTCATGGTGTTCGGAGGGGCCCTGCCCTATGTACCGCAGTACCAGGAGATCCAGAGGAGCAGCAACACTGAGGGCTTCTCCACCAGAGTGTGCTTGGTGCTGCTCATCGCCAACATCCTGCGCATATTCTTCTGGTGAGCATGAGAGGGGAAGTCCTTCTTCGTCTTTAAGATTTTGTTCTGTGTATTTTCCTGCTTTTGTTGACATTGCTCTTGATGTCAGAAGAACAGGGATAAAAAGATTGATTATATTATCAGAAGCACCTGCTGCTCGCTCTAAAACATTCAAACACACAAGGAGAGGGGAGGTTATCATCTTGCACAACAGAGCATCAAGTCATTTTACTTTTGTCTGTCCTACTTTGCTCTATGTGTGTACAAGTTCCCTCCTGTGACTGGTGTGTCGGTCATTTCTTTTCAGGATAGGAAAGCAGTTTGAGCTGACCCTGCTGCTCCAGAGTGTGGTGATGATCCTCGCCATGTTCGCCATGCTTCACCTCTGCTGCACGGTCCACAACACCAACCGAGTGAGCACCAAGCAGCACAGACTCACAGGTAACCCACTCTGTGCCACAAACCCATTTTGACTGACAGCAGTCATAACAAACCACAGAATATTAGCAGACACAACAACCTCATCATTTACAGGGTGAAGTGTACAATCATTTCAAGGCAGCATATGACACATCCACCACTTCCCTGTGCCAGCACTTTAGATGCTGAGCTCTTCAACTCCTTCCCCTCGCCAAAAGATGGGGCTATTGGAAAAGCTTACGTTTCAAGGCTGCTGTTTTCAAAATGCTTTTTCCTGCGTCAGCCACTGTTCTCCTGTCGTCTTATTTTAATTTTCTTTATGCTCAACTGAATGGCTGTTGTTGGCTCCTTGTGTCTCCACAACGAAAAATATTCTTCTAAAAGTAATAACAGTATTACAGATGTTAAGATATGTGAGAAAGTGCAAGGCAAAGCAGAAATGTCCAGTAGGATGTATTAGTTGGTGCATTATCATGCATGTGTGTGTGGGGAGAAAGTGGATGAGGCATCGTTGTTGGGTAAGATGGAGGAGATGAAGGAGGAGATGAAGGAGGAGATGAAGGAGAAGATGAGGGGAGCTAATATTAAGCAGACCAATATCGGCAGCCACTGTGCAGTGTGTGCATAAGTATGTGCATGTGTGTGTGTGTATCTTAGGTTTGCGAGTGCAGGAGGAAGCCCATCCAACCTTGTGTTCAGGGTCACTCTTTATAGGCGTGTGTCTTTTATGGTTAATTGTCTTTTTTTCACGCTGGAGTTGATTGCTTTTGTAAATGTGCTGACAGAAATTCAATCTTAGTGTCGTTTTTATTCGATATCGCTGCGATCATGCAGAGCAGGAGGCGTTTATTAAAGCCATACATTATCAGAACTGTTTGATTTTATCATGACTGATGAGTGAGGATGGAAGTATTTGTTTACCAAGAACAACACAATGTGAGTGTGTTTGTTATCCTGTCAGACGTGAGAGTTAAGATCATCGTGTTTATATCTCATCATCAGCCACTGTTTTATTCAGGCCTGCGTTTGAACTTGGTGAATATAAGACGGTTGGTGGAAGTTTCTTATCAGTTTATTATTATGCCTACGTGCCAGCGACACCCAGTGGTTGGAGGCAGTATGTGTTGTCCGCCCGTCTGTCCCATTCTTGGGAACACGATATCTCAAAAAGACCTTTAGGGAATTTATTTTAATGTGGTACCAACATTACGTTGGGCTCAAGAATGATCTCATTAGCTTTGGTGGTCAAAGGTCAACATTATTGTGACCTCACAACATATGGTTTCCCTTGTGAACATGATATCTCAGGAACATCTCCAGATAACTGCTTAGAATTTGGTGAAAACGTTCACTTGGACTCACAGATGAATTCAAAAGTCAGGTTCAAAAGTCGGGATCCTCTTGAACGTGATGGTCTGCCTTTTGGGGAATTTCTCCCAGTTTTGACCAGTTGTCACTTGGACTCAAAGATCAATTGATAAGATTTCATTATCTCTAAGGTCAAAGGTCATGATGACCTCAAATGAGTCTGACAAAAAAATGTAAATAGTCTTAAATTGCTGTGGTTGGCGGAGGCTAACAACTGCAGGGCTGTAACTCTAGTTTATCTGAACTCTGTATTAGTTCACATGTTACAGCGAAGAATAAATCCTAGAGATTTTTGATCCATCAACTTTCAGCCCAGGATTAATTCTTCATATACTAGTTTGTCCGTCACTTATACTCAGCATGACCACCCTCTCACGTCCAGGATCCTGGCTCTGAAGGGCGATCCTGGGATCCTGTTTCACAAAGTGCGTGTTCGAAGGGGGATGGTGGGGTAGGGACAAGAATAGCTCAACAGCACTTCGTCCCAACTCTCCTCCTTCCACCATCCTTCAGTCTTTCCTACGGATCAGGGTCATCTCCATGTCAAGCAGCTTCCTCGCATCCCATTTGTTAGCATCACTTCCAAATATATGACTGTTTTTTAAAACCCTTAACGCCGCTGTCAATTCACAGCTGCCTTCGTTGCTCTTTGCCTTTCTTTTCCTTCACATTGCTTATTATTTTCCCACTTTCTTCCCCTCTTCCTCTGTCTCCTCACCTCCTCCTGCCCTCCTCTTGCTGTTTCACCTGCTCCCACCTCTTTTCCTCCTCTTCATCCTCCGGTAGGGTCATCATGAGACCACCAAAGAGCACGTGTGTCCTACCGAGGTCATCTATGATCCTCGCGCTCGCCTGCCAACACCTGTTCCCCACTTACTGACCTAATTTTTCACTTCCTGCAAACACAGACTGACAGATAAGGTGATAAATGCACTTTGTCTGTGCAAATACTAGTTACGCACATGATTCCTTTTACAACCTGCTGATGGTGCTGACTCACCTCAGCCTCCACCTTGTCTGGTTTCCTCTTTCCATCCTTGTGAAACCTTTCTTACTTCAGTTTATATTTCAGTGCAGTATGTCTGATGAGGTCTTTGCTGTTCACCACCACAGGGTGTTAAACGTGCCTCTGATGAACTTTGGCACACAGCTTTGATTCATGCATCGCTGATGTCATCCACTAATGTGACTAAAATGATCTTAAAAGAATCATAATTTGAGTTTGTTTGTTTGAGTCTGCTGTGTTACTAGTTTCCCTCTTGCATTCATGATGTAGAGATATTAGAGTTATGGTAATAGTAATGGGAATAATAATGATGACTCTGATAATTATAGCAATATAGTTATAATAATGACATGAATAATTATTGAGCACAATGAAAATGCAGATTGTTTCTTATTTTCATTTTAGATGATGCTGAGTGAGAATAAAAATAATTCACTTGTCAAATCAAGTCACCTTCATTATTATTAATGACTGGCTGAATCAGGATGTTATTTTTCTGTGTGTGTGCATATACGTGTGCTTGCGCACATTGGTATGCTGTACATTAGCTTTTACTTATGCTGCCCTAAAGTGAAGGTCCTGAAACTACAGAATGAAAGATCAGCTGATTAAAAAAACATACTCTTTTTTAAATCGGCGTCAGCAATGTTAAACAGCACTTTAAATGTTGAACTTCACATAATCTAAGTCGTAACCTGTTTAAATATGATTAAATGCGTTTGACATTTGCTAAACTAAACAAAAGTTAAAGTTTGGTGACTAAAACCTTTGTCATGGTCTCTGCTGAGCTGAGCTGGAGTTGTGACTTTGCAGTGACTTCCAGTTGTCGCCCCTGGGCGCCACATTAACAGTCCCTCATGATACAGGGATTGGGAGGCTGATAGGAAAGAAGGGAGAGGAGACGTTCAAAGACAAATGTGACCCGAGGCTACAGCGTCAGTCTTGGTGCATTGAAAGCAACTTTGAACAAGTGAAAACAGAAAATGCAAGAGCTGGGGAAATGTTGAGTAAAGGTACATTGCTTCTATGTAATAACAGCGTTAATCTGAATCAATGATAATTCAAAAATGATCATTCTAGGGGTTAATACAAATAATCTAAGATTTAGAAAATTAGAAAGACACCCCCTCTTCTGTTCGGGACCAAGTAAAGCACATTCTAACTATTATTTAAGAAATGTATTTCAGCTTTTAAGATATTTTTATTGTAACTTGCACACACAGTAGTACAGGTTTATTTCTTTACATTAAACCAGGCAATGGCAGCTCTTGCCTTCAGTCCCATTTTGTGAGTCACTGGGCACAGAGCCACTCGTCCTATTTAACATGCTGTTTGTGGGAGTCAGCGAGTGCTCACCAGACCATAAACAGAGGAAGAGATGGGACTCCTGATAGCCCCAATGACCCTGCGGTCAACCTTAAAGCCGTTACCGTTCAAGTGGTGAAAGCAATTTCAATTTGCTTTAGATAACCTCTTCAGGGGAGGTTAGACAGAGCAGATATTGGAAGCGTGATAGGAATTATTTAAAGAGTATGGGCTCAGTCGCTGGCTAATTCACCGTCTCCTCTGTAGTGTTGCAAAAATGAACTTTCACTCTGCTTTTATTCTCCCAGGTGAGAATTCATCATGCCAGCAATTTATTTCCACATAAAGCACAGCTCTGTTTTTATCCAGCTACAGCTCTGTTCAGCACTGAGCAGAGGAAATCAACTGATTTGACTTCATTGCTGTTATTTTCTTCTCAAGGAAAAACTTGATTATAAATGAGAGTTGGGAATATTTAACTTACTTTAAATTACACCTCCGCTATTTAAAAATGTGTCTAACTCAGTGGTCGTCATATTTTATTTTTTTATTTTTGTTTCATCTTGATTCACATTCCTTCCTCATTTCCTCCGAGGCCAGCGTTGTTGAAATGAGAGAAAGTCTGGATCTCGTGTGGTGATCAGATTTAAACACTGTGCTGACTTTGTTTTGGAAGACTGTGACAACAAACACACACACACAAACACACTCACACACACACACAC